GAGACGGTTCTGGTGCAATTTACAGAGGCTGAAAAGAACAACTTGTTGAATCATTCTATTACAGAAAACTTTTATTCAAGTAATTGCATAAATTTTGAAAACTGCCAAAGTACATTTCAAGTAACAACCACTAAGTTTGGTCAGTAGTGGATGCGGATACTACTTGGGACGTTTACCATACATGAATGTTCAACCATACAACCATACAAAGCCCTCGGGGAATATACAGATACAATAATATATATGACCCGAAAACATTTTTTCTAGTCTACTTGTAAAACCCAATACCCATGTTACCAAAAAGCTACCTTATCTGAAGCTGACTGTTCAAGGAACGCTCAGTGGAAAAGTTCATTACCTTCGCAGGAGTCTCCAACTTGAATGAATCCTGGGACGCACGAGCAGTTAAACCCGCCGTCTGTGTTTGTACAGGCTTGTTCACAGTCATCCAGCTGTTCTGCACACTCGTCAATATCTATTGCAATACGTTGTTGTTGTTTATTCATTTAACCAGAAAAAAAATATCACCTATTGGTGGTTTGGAAATATTCTTTGGACAAAACCCCAAAATGATAGTACATAACATTATCAAAGTAATAAGGAGTCGAAAGAAAGGTCAATCGAGAATAGCTGAGACAAAGTGAATAGGTAGAGATCTTGAAGAACAAATGATGCGGTGGGAGAAAAATGGTTGTCCAGACAACAAATCATAATGATAGATGGTTAAACAGAACGCCAAAATAATGCTAGATAAAGCTAATTTTGCATAGGAATAGTGAAGGAGGTCGAAAAGTTTCACAGTATCAAATTGGTCAACTTGTCAAGTTGCCAAATTTGATACCGTGCTTGCAATTTAATTAATCTGAATATAAAGTAAAGTGCTGAATGTTATTTTAATTTTGCATTTAAAACAATCTCAAAATCATTTCGGATGTCATTGATCTACGTGTTCAATCAAATGGTAAAAGGGTAAAATGTACAAACATATGTTTTTACCATCACACTTGAAACCATCGACCGCTAGCCTGTATCCATCCTCACAGCTACAGGTATAACTTCCATCAGTGTTGAAGCAGTCCATAGAGCATTTACCTTTGTCAGTCATACACTCATTCACATCTGCGGAGAATAAGATATGCCCATCAGTTCCTCCTCACTGATTCTTAAAAAAACTGCCATAGTTTTTATTTTCTTAACAATCCTTTTAACCCTTTTTAACACGGCGTTGTCAATTTATTTTTTTGTAATATTACATCTTTTTCTGTCGCTTCCACAACACACAAGCTAAATAAGGCATGAATTATACTCGAGCGACCAATGATTAAAACTTGGTGTGTTCCTACCTGTGCAGTGCCTACCGTCTCCTTTGTAACCATTATAACATGTACAGTTGTAGCCTCCAATCAGGTTGGTACAGACGGCTTTTGTGTCGATGTCACAGTCAGCTTCTCCCCTTACACATTCATCAATATCTGCAGCAACGAAATATAATTACATGTAATAGTTTACAAGTTAATCAACAAATCATCTCCGTTTTAACAGTTATAGTAACCACTCTAGCTTCATATGATATGCAGGTTTATCTACATTTTATTGTGCATCATTATAAAAAACATATTGCAAAATGGCAGGTGGAACGATAACTCCTTTCTGTTTTCAATAAAACGTATATGTTCCTTTAAGTAAGCAGTTTCTACTACAAGTATGAAAGGTGATCACTAGCGGTATAGTCACATGGAATGTCGTCTTTTATATGAAAAAGAATGATGAGTAATAAACGATTGCTTTCTACAATGTAACTGCAATATACTCATGACAAGATATTGATGATTGTATACACGTTTTTCCTCCATTAAGAGAAATGTAAACTGCTTACCTTCACACTGAATCCCATTCCCGACGAATCCCGCGTTACACGAACACGTGTAAGATCCCGGAGAGTTTGTGCAGGTTGCCTCCTGAGCACAGTTATCTATTACACTTCCACACTCGTCGACATCTATATTAGACAATTAAAAGAAAAAAAAATGTATATATAATTCACACGGTAGACTGGACACAATAAAGGTAGAACCATAACATTATTCAGGCCGCAGAGACAGTAGGTTTTTTATCGACTAAGCCACGATATTAGGAAGTGGAGCCCGTCCCTCTACTTCGACTGCCTTTAACTTCTTTAGCTAAAGCCAGTTACAAACTTCACACCTGGGTGGAGTGACGGAAGTAGTGTAGATCGAAATGCCTTTTTCAAGGGCACAACGTGTTGCCAGTAATTGAACCCGTGACCATTCGATCTCCTGCCCGGTAACCTAGGCTCTTGGCGATTGGCGCCACCACATGGGCACAATACAAATATCACAAATCTTCTTTTTTTTTAATTTGACGTAAGAGTGAAATCTTTATAACTTACCGGTGCAAATGACTGTACCGATCCCTTCATACCCATCTGTACACAGGCAGTTATAAGAGCCCTCCGTATTGGTGCAATCCGCGTTCTCAGTGCAGTTGTTGAGAGCAGCATCTGAACACTCGTCAACATCTGAAGAGCCAACGTCAAGTAAATTAGATATCTAAATATTGGTATCAGTTTCAGTTACAAGAGTATATTATCTTCATCACTCGATTATTGTTTAACTAACCAAGTGATATGAAAACACATAATCTGCCAACTATATGACAACAGCATTTCGTCGAAGCAATAAAGTTGCATATTGGATAATGTTTATTGCAAAAAATACCCTCGACATCAACTGATAGTGCCTGTTATTCAATGATTCTGGGTTTTCATTTTCTATGAGCTGACAAAAGGAAGTTGAAGTTTGCTCCTCGATATGCCATCAGGCACTTGAGTTAATAAAGTCTAGGCACAGGGTAGGGCAAAGTAAGTCAATGTCATGTTGCAACTAATGGTGAACTGTTCACAAAAAAATCTGAAATGGTATAAAATAGGTCTATCGCAATGGCCATATTACATGTATGTTTCACATTGTTTACTAAACAATGCAATGTACCAGGTACATTAGGAAATAACGTTACTGCACAACATGTGTACAAGTTACAACGTCTGGTACCAACTGCTATATAACCATAGACATATAACATGAGGCTAATCTACCTTACAAAAGACTAATTCAGTCGGGATGGGAATGAAATCATTAGAAAAATTGCACCAGTGTACCTCAAAGAAAACATCGAAACCGTAACAAACCTTGACATGTGATCCCGTCTCCTTCATACCCACCCCTACACGCACAGCTATAGGACCCAGGGTTATCTGTACAGATCCCCTGCCCCGGGCTACAGTTGTCCAGTAGCTCTTCACACTCATTCACGTTGGTGCACACTGCCCCCTTGCGGCGGTAACCAGAGTTGCAGCTGCAGCTGTAGGAGCCGATGGAGTTGGTACATCTTGCATTTGTGTGGCAGATGTCCGGATCAACACACTCGTCTTTGTCTTTAAAGGATAAGATAGACGAATTGGAGACAACTGGTCAGCAATACTACAGAGATGGTCCTTTATTGCATATTCTTTCCCACATGGAGGCCTAAAGCATAGCGGTTATCCAACTCCGACGGAGTCTAAATCTAAATTACCTTTACCTTTAATGTACATCTCACTTTCCTTTTCTTGAAATACTAAGAAAGGGGCGATGTGTGATAGTGTACACAGGGATTATAAAATACCGCCAAAATTAAACTTTAGCGTCAAAATATTTAACATAAGTTACCTTTACTAGCACAATATTCCAACGTTGATCGGCATTCTTATTAAGATTGTCAAAAGGAATAATGTTGGATCATGTCACAACTGGCCTGCTTTCTACCTAACATTGCATCGTAAGACATTCAGCTTCAGAAGGACAGTAACAACGAGTAGATACAACTTACCCTCACATCTGCGTCCACTGCCTTCATAGCCAGCCTTACATGTGCATGTGTAGGATCCAACAGTGTTGTCACATACTGCATTGCGATCACAGGAGGCACTAGTCGCACATTCATCAACATCTGAAAAAGGATAGAAGGAAATGATGTATACAAGAAATAACAAAGTATTCGCTTGTTTCTGTTTCCAACATTCGGAGTTATTCTGATCTCATTATAGGTCAACATGAAATAGATTTCTTGCATTGAGAGAAAACTTGTGTAATTATAAGATGGTTCAGTATTTAACAACCGAGTAAGAGGTTTTTGCATCCAAGGTTTCGGTGGCAGTCTGTCACCTTCTTCTGGACAACAATCACTAGTTCTGATTCGTATAGCGTCTTACAATAGCCTCTTGTAAACACAGTCAAGTTATTCATCGTTTGAGGAAATGTTTTATAGAAAAGGTAAAAAGTAAAGTAATCACCTGCGCAGTAGGTCCCATTGCCAGTATATCCGGTAGTACAGGTACAAGTAAAGCTGCCCTCTGTGTTGGTGCATGTTGCCTCAACTGCACAATCAGCTGTGCTAATGTCGCACTCGTTTATATCTAGAGAAAAATGGTACAACTTAATATGTTTTTTTCGCCTGTGGAAAAGAATGAGATGAATTTACAGTGAAAACAAAGTTCTGCTGGACACATAGGTAATTTAGCTGTTCTACTGGCTATCAAATAATGCAATTTCTACATTGCAATATAATGATACAACTCCGTAGCTTACCAGTACAGTTGAGGCCATTGCTGTCTAGGGTGTAACCAAGGTCGCAACCACAGGTGTAGCTGCCTAGGATATTCACACAGTTATGGGGCTGTTCACAAAGCTGACCTTGGACACACTCATTGATATCTGCAAAATGAAACAAAACACATAATATTAGCACTTGCTAACAACATTGCATTAAAAATTCAACGGATATTTTTCGGAACGCAAATGGCCAGCGAGGTTGAACTTTGAGGACGAGAACTGTTTGTTTTATCTGGTCTGGTGGAGGTCCTTAAAATCATTGACATCACGTTATCAGTGATGTGCACATTAACGTTTTGTTGACTTCCTGTCGCTTTCTAATGTCACAGTTGCATGACCCAAAAACCTATTGGGCACATGCAACACTTATCAAGAACTGATATAATACAAGATTTGTTTATTATCATTTGGCAACACCGACTTGATTTTATAGATGCCATCTTCTGAAGACCTCCAAACTACTGCGCGCGGGCGAATTAAAAAAATCCGACCAAAAATAAAAATGCTAGTAAACCACAGGAATACAAAGCCGATATTGTGAATTTGTGGCAGTACTTAGCAAAGTATACGACAAGTCGGCACAAGCTGGCTTTTTGTGGGATTTATGGACAGGAACGGTACGTATGTACTGAGTTCTCCAGTCGCGGAGCTTCTGTAGCCTGGGTGCCTCGCAACTCCCATGGACTACCCAGGCCTAGAGCCAGGCCATAGCGTCGGTGGACGTGACCTTTTTTTTTGCTCGCGCGGATGTCAACAATAAATTAAATCGGTGTGGCCTTAGGCTAAAGGAAACGTTTGTCCTACTGACCATAACACTTCACCCCAGTCCCATCCAGACCATTGGGACATGGTCCGCATTCGAAGCCATGTTTAGGTGATACCATATCTGTACACGCCGCTCCTGGATAACACGGGTCCTCCTCACATTCATTCTTATCAGTCTCACAGAACTCTCCTGTCCAGGCTTCAGGACACGAGCAGGAAACAACCTGTTTAACAACAACAAGACGAGGTATACATCATACAGAATCTGGTACTTAAAAGTAATAATCAAGAAGCAATAACAACTTAACCCTACCTAGACCGGGGGGGGGCTAAAAGTGCCCGCGGCAACTTTGATGTCACCTAGCGTCTGAACGGCTAGCCGTAAAACGACCAAACTTGGTGACTTTTCCTAAAATATTGTTGGCAACAATTCTCTATCATTGGAATGAGATAATAATTTTTTGTGTTGCCATGGCAACGGGTTTCTGACAGGCATTTTTTGCTAAATTTAGTACTTTATGTTTCAACAATAGAATTTCATGGGTTTTATGTCAAGTTACTCATGGTTTCTAATATTAATAACATCCCATATAATTTTATGTAAATTTTATCATTAAATATGCATAATTTTTGCTAATTTGATGACGTCATTGGCCAAAATCCAAGATGGCGGACCATATCATTAGAACAGGTATATACGGGTTATTTTCCTTAAAATTTCATCAATACTTCCATTTCTTTTTACAAAAAGGTTTGAATGAAGGTGTTTAGTATGTTTACAATGTATTTTAGGCTTTATCATGAAAAAAAACTTTTTTTGAAAATTCAAGATTGATGATCCAAGATGGCGGATATCTTAAATATGCATGACGTAATTTTATGACGTCACTGGTGTTGCTATGGGCAACATAAGACTTAGTACACACTAATATTCTGTCATAAACACTTTTGGTAAAGCTATGTTGTATACCAGGGAGGTTTTCAGGGAAAAACCTATTTAGACGGTTTTGGCCAATAAAATCACATTAATGACGTCATAATGACGTCATATTACGTCATAACGACATAAAAATTGTAGATATGTTAAATTTTTACTAGTACACCATTCTCTAAAGATTTTGGTGGTCATACGACCTACCGTTCGCGAGTTCTTAGGGGGGGGTCAAAAGAGCCCCC